GCAGGAAAATGTGTTTTTTATCATTTCACCCCAAGCAAGGCAACAAATCAACTGAGACGCAGGGGTTACTGAATGTAAAAGAATATAAGAAAAAGAAAACATTATTATAGAGCGAGAACAATAAAAGAACATAAATTAAGAAGACAGAAGATTACGATTTACATTTTTAAAGATCAAACTTGACTAGAAAACAAAGAACCGGAAGAGAGATCCACAGGTTAGAAGTGTGATAAAAGAAACTGCTAGCGTAGAATTTATGGTTACATCTAGCCATTTCAACTATAAAATGATGAGACCATTCATAGAATTTAAGTACTGTAGCGGAAAGTTAATCAGAACAACTACCATGAAAGTATTTATAGAAAAGGCACAGGGAAGCTATATTACGCCGGTGGGAAAGAGACTGAAGACGAGATGGTAGGTCAGGATCATTTAAATTGCCGATTCTTCGTTGGACTTTATAAACGATATCTAAATATATAGCAGGAATACTAGACCACATGTGGCAGAAATATTCTAAGAATGGACGAATAGTAGACTTATAAATTTGTAAGATAGACTCTGGCGAGAAGAATTGTCGAACGCAACAGAGTGAACCAACATTCCTAGAAGCACACCAAGCAATAGATTCAATATAATCTTTCCACTTTATATCAACGGAAAAGCTTAGCCCGAAAAGGCGCAATGAGTCACTGTCCTGGAGGTTGGCACTAGCCATATTGATGAAAGATAAAAAGGCTTCTTTCAGACGATTAATAGAGATCAGTTTCGTTTTGGAGGCATTAAACTTAACAAGCCATTCCTTGCCCCGTTTAACAACAGAAGTTAGGTAATTTTTTAGATCAGATGCTAATTTGACCTTACCGCCCAGGCTTACTATTAAGACAGGATTAAATAGTTGTCTCATCAGCATAGATATCAAGTTGAGAACTGATGCTTATAGAAAAACTGAAACCAAAAAAAACAAAAAGCAAACATGATTGGGTAAGAATGATTATCTACTCGGAATTGATCAAGCGAATAACATTTAACCATACAAACCAGGAAATATCACAGAAAAAAAATAAAAGTCAAATTTTATGTGACTTTCGTCAAGAAGGAGAATAAAATTTATCAGTGTATGCTGCCGTTCTGGTAGAAGAGAAATTAAAATTGAATGAATAGTTTACCAGGAGCTTGACAGAGGAGTAATGGAATTATGAAATATGGTGGTGACAGTCATTTCCATCATTAATGTAGCACAAGGAACAATTTTAAAGGAACTGTAAAGGGTTGTGACTATTGTGAAATTGAGAAAGATTTTCAAACTATCTGATGGTTATTAGAAAACCAATGAAAACTGCCAGTGGAAACAGTCAGTAAAAAAAAACAAAAGTGTTTATCAGAAAAAGAAATAAAGAAAAAAAAAGTGAAAATAGGAAAATGGCCGTCCTGAACTTCCATTCGTTGCTTCCATAACTATTACAATGTCTCAGTCACTTTCTCACTTCCTTTTACCTATCATAAGTGGCGAGATAAAAAGGAAATGAAATAAGAAAACAAGCGAAAAGAAATACAACTGTCCCTGTAGCGACCGAATTGCTTCTTCATTTCCATCATTTCAATTTTATAATAATAATAATAATTACCGTAAAGCCTTTGATAGTGTGCCACTCTCTTGGACCCTTAAGGCTTTAAATGTACAAAGTCTCCTCGGTGATAGTAAATTTCCTGACAGACAGCATGAAACCGTGGAAAACCCTATTATACCTAAATCACACCAAAGGTACTGACATTTCCGATTTCAAGGAGATTCCCTGCCCCCCCCACACACACACACATACACTTCTGTGCTGTCTATTCTTAACACACCTTTTGCATTGAACTAAACGGTAATATCTATGGATACAAAATAAAAAGAAAGTGTTAAATCACCTATTCTACATGGATGATATCAAACTCTTTGTCAAAGACGACAATGAGTAGAAGGATAGCCTCAATACTGTAAAATGTTTCAGTGATGACATCGGTGTTGGTTTCGGATTAGATAAATGTGCAAAAGTAACATTCAAGAAAGGAGAATTACAGAAACATATTCAATAGGTCTAGATTTTGTCACAAAGATTATGGAACTGAAACAAGAAGAAGCCTATAAATACCTAGGAGTCAGCGAAGGAGATGGAATAAAGTATACCCAAAATGAAGGAGAAAGTAAGAAAAGAATATTACAGGTGTGTGTATCTGGTGTTGAATACCGACGTGAATTCACAAAACAGAATACCCACCGCAGAGAACCCCACTCTGCTTCCCATTAGAATGTCTGATGCTCAATTCCACGAGAGAACCCCTTTGCGACTGTTTGATCTCACACTGTCCTCTGACCTGAGATGGAACAATTACATTGAATCAATTGCTTAATCTACCGCAAGGAAAGTTGGTTTTCTATGTCGCGCGAGAAATTTTTTCTCACCTGAGTCCATCCTTCAAATCTATAAATCAACCATTTGCCCTTGGATGGAATATTTTTGTCATATGTGGTCTGGAACCCCCGCTGTTCGTTTTAGGTGTCGTCGACAAAATTCAGAGACGGATATGCAATGTGGTTAGCTCTGATCTGGCATCTCGTTTACAGTTGCTTTCTCACAGACGTCGTCTCCCTCTGTAACTGCTCCGAAGTAGTCCCTGACGAACCGCTTAGGTGAAACCGTGGTAGGTTTGTCTGGCTCTTTAGGTTTAGCTTATATATATATATATATATATATAAAGCAGAAACAGTTGTAGAAAATAAAAACATGAATCAGTATATGGTAGGGGCGTTAATAAATAAATCAACCACAAAGTCCAGGTAACAAACAGATTATTCAACATAAACAAGACGAAGCAATTGTTTTCAAATAATAGACTGTCCCTCATTTTTAACAGACAATGACGATAAAGTGAAAGAAAGTGAAAAGCTGGAAAAATCCTAATAATTAAAGACAGCATTTTTTGGAGCTTTTATCAAAAGTGATAAGGGGAAAAAGTTTTAATCAAAAACGTAGTAAATAAAATCATCTTTGTGATAAGGTTTTCAAAAATAAAAATTGAACTTTTGTGAATAATTTAACACAATTAGTATTAAGTATAGAAAACCTTTATTTGTAATAACATTCCGACGCCATATATCAAATATTTTACACAGATCCGGTGTAGTTTTACTCATTCATCTTTTACTTTAAAAATCTTCAGTTTTGTTCCCTAACTTTGATTTCTATATTCAAAAGTTCTCAGTGGGATTTAAGCTGGGACTTTGTGTTGACTAATATTCCCTTAAAAAGAAACTTCCACTTTTAGTAACCCTTATTGGCTTTATTTCATTTCTTGTAGTGAAATACTTCTTGTCGCTTCCGTTCTTGAAGAAACCCTTTTGAATTCCTACAGTAAACAGCGCCTGATATAGGTTTGATCTCATCTCATTTTTAAAGGTTTAAAATGATACAGAATTTCCCCGTGGATATTAAATAATCTGTAATGAAACATTAAAACGTAAAAATTAATGACCGTACGTATTGAAAATCATGTAAAAATATACAAGTCTTACTTTTCAACCAAATATGAGTTGGGACCAAATATAGATTCAATATAGATTAGGATCCGACAAATTGATAGGATTAGGAACAAATAGGAAACGCTTATAGTTCTGACATTTTTCACTTTTATTAACGGTTCTGCGGAGAATGAAAATGGTCAAAAAAAGAAACAAAATTTTGCTATTTTTCAATTCATGTGTTGTTTGCTTTTCATTGGTTAAGCAGTTAGGCGCGCGTAAGATTATTAACCAATGAAAAATAAACAACACAAAAATTAAAGATTGTAAAATTTTCATTCTTTTTTTTTCTCCCCCATCTTTCATTATCTGAGAAAGCTTTATTAAAACGAAACATGTTAGATCTATAACATTTTCCTAATTGTTCAATAATATATATATATGTGTGTGTGTGTGTGTGCGTGTGTGTGTGTGTGTGTGTGTGTGTGTGTGTGTGTGGTATTCGAGGATACCCGTCTACTAGGACGGCTAGCGAATCCCTATTGCAGACACTCGCTCAGGCATATTTGTGTTTGCTCAGCACCCACAGAGCCCACCTGTGGTTTATACTGAAACGATGCTGAGCAGACCTTAGTTACAGTTTCTGGGGAAGTGCGTGTTATCTAACGTGATCAACAGTTTGAACAAGGTCATCATGCTCAATCCCTCGGCCACGATGGCTTGTGGGTTCGTGCTAGCAGAGCTATCGACGGCCCACAGTTTTACTCACAAGTCAACTCGTGGTAAGGTTTTCAAGCACTTTCCAATGGTGCTGCACGCGATCCAGTCTGATAACACCAGGAAGTCTCCTTACTGACAAATTGACCATGGTGAGATTCGAACTTGGGTCTCATGGTTAGAAAGTGAACGTTCTAACCGTATAATATATATATATATATATATATATATATATATATATATATATATATATATATATATTATTGGAATCAATCAATATATAGCACTTTATATGAAAAAATATTGTTTAAAGATTATTATTTTATATTATGGTAAATTATTGAAATATCATTTGCTATAAAACCATTAAGATAACATTAATTTGAAACAGAAGTTTTTTAAACATTTTTCCTTAAAACAACTGTCTCCTGCCATTGCAAGAGCAGTAAATTTTATTCACCAGCTTGCAGGCATAAATGCATCGGTCATAATGCTCCTGTGCATTCGTTTATTTATTAAGGTTGACGAAGTATTATTGACAGTACCTAAACAACACACTACCTTGGCGAAATGTTCTGCGAGATGAGTTTGCAAACCATGACACAGAGGTTGGCCCCTATTTAGATAAAATTGAGTTTAGCAAGGAACAAGTACGCAAGTATATAGTACCCAGGGAGAATCACATTCAATATAGTATAATAGTCTCTGAGACAAACTTTCCAAACCTTCGTCCATAGCAAGATGTCCACCTGGCGATTTATGATGAAACATAAATGACTGATGTAATATGACAATGTGACCGAAAAGCTGGTCACAATAATTCAACGAACGAAAGACTGGGAGTAAAATGAACAAAAGCAAAAAACAAGGGTAAAGAACAAGAAGGAAAGAGTAAAGAAGGAATAAGAGAAAGCAAAGAAAAAAGTGGGCTAAAGAAGGAACAGGAGAAGGAAGAGAAAAGAGAAAAAAAAGAAATGGCGGAAAATAAGAAATAGAGAGAAAAGCAGGGAAGAAGAGAAATAAAGAAAATAATTGAATAATGAAATGCAGGAAAGAAAAAGAAAAAAGAACGGAAAACTGAGAAAGAAAAAAAGTGTGAGACAGAAAGACGCCATCAATTGTGGTGCCGAAGAAGAATTAATAAAGAAAACGAAAAAGAAAACAAAAAGGCGTAGTAAGAGAATGGGAATTAAACGGGGGAAAACGAAAGACTAACAAAAGGCAGTGATTTAAAATAACTTAATCTAATCATTGGCTGAACTAAAGATGTCTTCTCATTTTTCTAACAAATGTAAAATTCAACTCAGCAACAACGATTTTTTCATCATTAAAATAATAATAACAATAACAACAACAACAATAATAATAATAATAATAACTGCAAGGTCCCTATGAATCTAATGGAAATTAGAGAATAAAGGCAGTTCTGACGTCATTCTACTGTTACAAGAGATGACATGAAGTATAATTTTGTTCGTTATCACTTGACTGAAGTTGGACACGACTTCGTTAGGAAAGCGACGTAGGTTTCACACACACACATACACACTGGAGTGGAGGTGGGCATCGATGTGGAGGCGTTCACACTTAAACACAGAAATTCACGCAGACATACACACATACAGAACAATGAGAGTATCCCTCGCGCGCCATAGTACTACCCATGTAGAGCCCGAACATAGTGCATAAGTCTGAAAATAAAATATTTCATTTCAAATCTCTAAATTCTTTGTTTAAAACTTAAATCTGGTCATTACTGAAGTTGTTATTTTTGCTTCTTTACAGGAAAAAGACAAAAAAATGTGCTTTTTGGTAGTTTTCGAACTTGATATATATATATAATTAGCGATTTGCAAAAAACCAACATAGTTTACAAATTTAAGTGCCCTCTGGGAGATTGTATCTCCAACGGATTAAATAATATTTATGTTGGTCACACCACAAACTCGCTTTCGCGACGCTTGACTCTACATTTGAATGATAATTCTAACATTTTTAGGCATCTAAAACAACATGCCTGGCCGCATACACAATTCCGGAAAATCCTTGTTGAAAACACAACTATATATAAACATGAAAACAATAAACAAAAACTAAAAATTCTTGAGGCTATATGCATAATACAGTTGAAACCTAACCTGAACAAAATAAAGTATGAAAATTCCACATAGGATTGGATAGGATTAAAAAAAAAAACATGTGTCAAGATAGTGATTTTCTTTCGTCTTTCAATGATAATGTTATTAAGCTTATAAATGCCTATAATTTATAACAGAAGCTATTGGTTTATACAAGCGGTGCGATTTTCGCTTCCAGCGTCTCGTATGTACGAGTTTGTCGTTGCTAGGAAATCTTCCATGCAAACAAAACAGACTATCATTGTTGCTATGTCCGTGTATTGTTTAAGTTATTGTAATGTACTTGTCAACTCTGATGATGGCTGATGTAAGCCGAAAGCTTGGATAGGATTAAAAAAAAACATGTATCAAGATGGTGATTTTTTTTCGTCTTTCAATGATAATGTTATTAAGCTTATCAACCGATATGAAAGGAATTTGCTTAAAATAGACAAAACTTGTCTATATTCTTTAACGAAACATGCATTAATGAAAAAATGCTTGCCTAAATACACACAATATATATATATATATATATATATATATATATATATATATATATATATATATATATATATATAATATGGCAAATTGAATAATGGTAGTAATAAAATAGTGCTCATTTTATAAAAACAGAGCGATTATTTATATTAATAATAAATATATCATTTTTACTCACTGGTAGTACAACTTTGAGTTTCATGCACAAGGCAATCAATCAAGACTTGGCGATTACATTTTGCATGAAAATGGGTCTAGGCAACTAGTGAGGAAAATGTATATTTATATTAATACATGCAGACATATATATATATATATATATATATATATATATATATATATATATATATATATATATATATAACCAGATTGGAAGGGATAATTCTGAGAAGGATATAAATCCAGGAGAGTTCAATGTAGACTACAGAGCATTATAATGATAAGAAGACGGAGACTGTAATCATCCATTTTACTTATAATTTTTATTTTCTGAACACCGCGATGTTCAGCTCATCAGAACGAAAAAACTGCTCCGCGAATATATATATATATATATATATATATATATATATATATATAATTTGTTCTAGGATTTAGGATATTTTACCTGAATATATATATATATATATATATATATATATATATATATATATATATATATATATACAAGCTTTCACCATTATATTATAATCAATGTTATGTTTGAGTAGTCTGGCTGTTGGTTCTAAGAACTGAACTGTTCGTCCATCGGCGACGAGAAAGCGATACCAATTCAGTTTCGTAATCATATATATGTATGTATGTATGTATGTATGTATGTATGTATGTGTATAAAAACTTCAGATAGAGTATACCTGTAAAAGACAATATGAATAAAGACCAAAGGAAAACTTGACTGGAAGGGACTTTATCAAGACAAATGTAACGATTTATTCTGAAAAACCAATAATATTTTCATTCTTGTGCATAAACACTTGTCGCAAAATAAATTCCTTACCTTTCCCTTGATAAACTTCCTCAGAGGACGAAACGCGTCGGCTAAGATAAATTTTCTTTTGGTCTTTATTTATATATATATATAGAGAGAGATGGTATGATGTGTAAATTGTCGCTATTTTATTTTTTTAATTTTGCTCATGTGCATTTTTTGTTTTTGATTTTGTCAACGGCACAGTATAGTAGGGACAGTTGGGCGCCGTCTGTGAGAAAAAAAGAGCACCATGACTCAATTTACTCCGCCAGAAATTTGGAAACGGAATGCTGTACTGCATTCACGCCGGAAGCTCCAAAAACGAACATTTCAGGATGTTTGGGTATGAATCTGAAGACAGCGCAGAGGATTCGGAAAGAGTTGGATGGGTTTAATGTTCATTACCAATGTACGGCAGCTCGGAAAAATCACTCAAGTTGTTCTGATAAGAAAATTACTCCCGAATTTCTTGTCGAGGGACTCAGACTCAACATGGAGGCCTACATCAAGTGCCTTGAGGGGGTAGTGCTGGCCTGGGTCAAGAGGATGGCTACTGAAAGACCCTATGTCTGGCAACTGGACTCTGCACCAAGTCATAGAAGCAGGATGACCCAGTCATGGCTGTCAGACAATTTCTGCGACCGCATCATTCCTTAAATCTGGCCACCTAACTTCCAAGGCTTTAAACACCTTGATTATTATGTGTGGAACGCAGTTGAACGAGAGACCAACAAAACCCCTTGTAACACCAAAGATGAACTAAAGGCAAGGATTATGGCAGCATTCACCAACTTAAACAAGGAGAACAGAAGAGTTACAGGAGTTTCCGAGGTCGTCTAGACGCCGTGGTTGAAGCCAATGATGATTTTATTGGATACATTTATTCTTTACTATTTATATTTATTCTTTCAAGATCTTGATAAATATAACTGTTAAAATGAGATGTCAATGTTATTTTCATTTGTGCATGATTTAAACGACAATTTATCCATCGCACCATATAAGGTAGAAAGAGAAACGCGGAGAAAATAACAATG